GAGCACAGGACAAGATTTTCCGTCCTGCCCTGTTCACCGCACACTATAATCCTATCCTGCCGCTCAGCAAGTCAGGACAGAACACTGTATTAAAAACAATGCATGTTTTATTTTTTGTTAAGTAAGGCATGTATCGCATCTCTTTAAGGGTATATGACCAACTTGGGTGTGGGTTGATGTGGGTGTGTCTTTGTGCTTCCTAAGTCACACCCACATCGAAAGTACTCCACCAGGGTAATGGTCGTGCTGCTAGTGCTGGTGGATTTTTGATAACTGTATAGTTGTTCGTGTTTGTTTGCAGACGAACTTTGAGTTTTTCTGAACTGAAAGAATCTTCTTCGGGAGAAAATACTTCAATGAAGTCCATATATTGTTTTACCAATAAAGTACAAAAAAAATTCAAGATAAAGCAAAAATAAAGACGAGATGTCGATATTATAAGAGAACAAAGAACAATAGATATACATTGTTGACATTTGTAATGCATATATTCTTTTTTCTTCCCGATTTGATTATCTTATCGAGCAATTCGAGAATAATCACACTTCTACATATAAAGAATAATGACATCTATCAGGGAGAACCAATACATAATGTGATGAACAATGATAAATATCATAAATCATTACAGGACAACATCTGCCATCCGGCCCTGTCCTGTCATGTGTCAACCTATCATGCCGCTCGGCAGGACAGGACAAAAATTTAAATAGCATCCTGTCCTACAAGACAGGACAGGATACAGGACGGCCGCACCGCCCCGTCCTTTGCTCATCACTGTTTCTTAGATAAAGAGTAATTAAAACATCATTTTAAAGTTTAATAATAATTTATGTGTATCATGAGTAATGACTGAAGTTTTTTTTTATTGGTTTATACAATTATTCCATCGAATTTACAAATGAAAGCTAAGTTTAAAGAAACAGTCATCTATCTCAACAAGTATGACTTACGAATTTATGTTAGATGACATATTAAACTAAAAGGTTTATTGCTCGATTTCGAGTCTTAACTATTAAACTTATAGAAAATATCCTTAACTTTTGACTTCTATCTTTAGTTATAGCTTAATATTAGTGATTAACAGTATCCACTTTTTATAAATACTCAATGTTTAACGTCGGAAAAAGTCAAAATTATTAAATCAGTTGGATATCGTTTTTCCATTAAAAATCTATCGCAATAATTTTATTAATGTATTATTTTTTTCTATTAAAATTTTATCTGTAAAAAAAAGCATTAACATATGTTGGAATAGCATTAGGACCAAGATCAACAGCTTCTATCTGTAATTCATAATTATTTCTTTGTTCATAATCTAATTGTTTTAAAAGTATAATTGAACCATTAGAAGGATTTATATAAAATAAATCATTAATAGTTTTATCATTTAATGTCCATTTTGAAAAGCTATAAATAATTTGTCCATTAAGACCTTCATCTGAATCAACAGCTTTCATTTGAATAAGTTCTGTATGAATTGATGTATATTCAGAAACATTAATTATTAATGGTAATTGTTGATTATGTTGAAATTGTAGTGAATTATCATTTATATCAGTTATTATTATTATAACTTTTATACAACATGAACGCTGTTCTTCATAAATACCTTCATAAGCACAGTAATTAAAATAATATTTTTCTTTTAATTCTCGATCTAATTTTTCAATAATAATAATTGATGGTGGTAATTGATTAATAAAACGAAATTCAGTATTATTATTTTCTAATAAATTATTATATTGAATATTATTTTGTGTTAAATCAAAATCATATGCTATTGGTAATATAATACGAGTATATAATTGTATATTTTCAGGGTGTGGGTGTGGGTGTGCGTCTGAGTCTTTTTTATTACACCAACACCCACACCCACACCCTTATCAAGTATTTTGTGGAACATGAAAAATTTTTTATACAGTAACAAATGATACAAATCCTAAATGGGAAACACCAAAAGTTCAACCAACGATTTTGATATGTATGGTCTTGTTTTTTGTTTAATGCTTAGGAAAATTGTGAAACATTTTTTTGCATTACTGCCTTATAGGTCACGATGAGTCTACTTACAAATCCGGGGAAATTTTAGGTAAACGTTGGCTAATACCTGGAAATGCACCATTTTATAACAAAGGTCGTGGAAGATCCATTATGCCATCGGATTTTTTAATTGCACACGAATCTGGCCCTTTCTTATCATTAACCGATGAAGAGTATTCCGAAGCTGTCAAAAAATATCCAGAACTAAATGAGGATGACGGTATTCAGTACGAGAAAAATAGGTGAGACTTGCAAAAAATGCATCATTCAGAAAAAGATAGGATGATTATAGTGGCGTAACCAGGAGCCTTTCGTTACCCGAGCAAGCAGTGACGTAATATTCGAACTTTTCCAAGAATTCCTGTTTTTTGCATAAGAATTCTTGTATTTTATACGTAGGAACTCTATACCACATGGCTATAACTATTTTCATGCAAGGAATCCGAATATCACATCGGCGAGCGCGAAAAATGAAATGGATCGGCATTATGATCATTTTTTTGCAGCCCGACATTTTTTCGATTTTTAAGTGCGTCTCAGTATTTTGCATTTTTCTCTATGAAGACTTCACTCAATCGAAAAAATAAGGTGATATTCGTAATCAGCGTGAGAATACGAATCAGAATATATAAATTTTATCAAAAATTTGAATCCACTGAAACTGTGCATTAGCGGCACCTTACTAATGGACTTGATAAATCAGTATGTTGTGTAATAGATGAATTAAATTTTTGAATATTATCATTTGTATTAATATGAAGTGATAATGATGGTTCAGGTATTGTTGATGTTGTATATAAAGGTGGTAAAATATAAATAGGTAAAACATTATTATTATCATTAATTGTTGTTGTTGTCGATGGTGAAAATATTTGTTTTTCATTTTCATTAATTGATATTTATGGAATATTATTCATGACAGAACTATCAGTTGATGTTAAATAATCTATATCTACATCGAGTTTGATTGATGTCTAAAAAAAATAAATATAAGATATGAGAAGAAAAAAACAAAAGTTAGATTTTTATTTGATCATTAGTAGCTATAATTGATGATGTATTTTTACTATGATCAGAAAAACTATTTTCATGTTCAACTTCATATAAAATATCTCCTTGTATAGGACGACGACAATTTGTAGTATTAAGAAAATTATTATTAGTATTTTCATTATCATCAATTAATATATCATCTAAATTTGTTATCATTATTGATGTATTATTATTATTATTATTATTATTATCAAAACAAAATGGATCATTTAATGATGAATAATGAAAATCATTAAGGATATTTAATGTTTTATCTTCCATTGTAAATATACGATTTGATATTTGTATGAAATTTTCAATGTGCTCATATTGTTTAGTATTATTATTGAATGGATGGAAAAAGGAAGAAAGGAAAAATATCGAAAATAAAATATCGAATGGAAAAAAATCGAAAGCGAAAATGTCGAATAGAAAATATCGAAAGGGAAAAATATCGAAAGTTAAAACATCTGAATAAGAAATAATGCTTATGAAATTTTTTCAAAATTGCACAAAGTGAATGAAATGTAAATATAAATTATAACAAACATTCAGTGAGCATGTCACTTTACAGAGTATAATGATTGGTCATTTTCTCTTTAATTTAAT